AAAATTTGTCAAGAAAGTTTGAGTAGGCTATATTTAAATGAATACATTCTGAAGACAAGGCAACTCCAGTAAATAGCATAGGACTATAGATAACTTATGTCCAAGATGTTGCTATGTTTGTCTATATGAAATATGTTGAATTTACTTATAAAATTTGGAATTCTAATAAATTAGTTTTCTGCTACTGGGATTAACCCGGGGGACAAAATTTGAATTTCCTTCCTATCTCATAAAATCTATAGCAAATAAAAAAGGATCATAAAACTAATGTTTTATTGTTCTTTAAATATCTGTATTCACTTCACTGCTCTTACTGAATTAAATTACTTAAATTACTTATTTATAAGGGGGAAAACAAGTCAACTTGGTTGAGTAAAATATGAATTATGTATAAAACCCTTGAACTTTCTTTTAAATACTTAAAAATATGCTTGTTGTCTTAACCTATGTATCTCATGTGTAGGAGTTTGGATAGTCACTGATGTCTCATTAAACACAAATCCTCTGATAAGAAAAGGATTCTGTGCATCAGTATAGACTTACCCTGCATAGTGCATCTTCAGTAGCGTTAGTTTCCCTTAACATTGTCCTTTGCTGTGCTGGAGTTGCTCCTATAGATGCCACTGTTGGAATCCACATAGACGGTCTCATCCACTCTCTGGAAAGATGGCCTTGTCTCATGTGCATCTCCTCACTTTCCACCTTCCTTCTGAGCCCTCTTTCTCCCATTCTCTTTATGGATTCTCCCATGTCTACTCTTCTGTATTGATAGGACATCTCCAGAGCTCCATCCAAGGCCAGCTTCTCTTTGACATGTACTGATTTCACTGGGAAAGCTCTTCTGGCCTTCAGTTACCTCACACTTTGTGTCAGTAAGTTAGACATACCACCAGCCTGTACCTCACCTGAGCTCTGGAGCCCTATTTCTGGAGACTGCTGGACACAGTACTTGTTGACCCAATGTTAGTAGTGTCTTTAGGATCTTGGATTTCTGGGAAGATATGTAAGAAACTGATCACTGATTGCATATATAACATCAATTACCTCAGGGAGGCAAAGGCAGACGATCTCTGTGAGTTTGAGGCCAGCGCTGTCTACAGAGTGAGGTCCAGGACAGCCAGAGATACACAGAGAAGCCCTGTATTAAAGAAAGAGAGAGAGAGAGAGAGAGAGAGAGAGAGAGAGAGAGAGAGAGAGAGAGAGAGAGAGAGAGNAGAGAGAGAGAGAGAGAGAGAGAGAGAGAGAGAGAGAGAGAGAGAGAGAGAGAGAGAGAGAGAAAGTTGCCTAAAGGGCCAAAATAGAAAGGAACAAGTTTTCACTTCACACATTTAGACCTGTGACTTTTTTTTGAAAATGTTTCTCTCAAAAGCACAGTGTCTTTGTTTATGTAGCCACTTCTCCAGTGTTGAACATGTAATTTTTTTCTATTTGTAATGCAAATATATCTATAGTGAACATTATGCATATAACTTCTTCCAGGTTGCTTGCAAGGGATAGGTCAGCAAAGGTGGTTTCACAGGCTAAGTTTGAGGAGTTATTACCAATTACTGTGCTGCAGTATCAGTTCATATTCTCATCGGCAAGGTGACTGGTTCCTTGACTTTTGCTAAATATGTTAAGTGAAGACCAGAAAAGCAGTGCTTTGTTTGAGTATGTATTTCTTGAGTGATGCCTAGGGCTGGCCATTCATACAGCTGTATCTTTCTAGATTCAGTCTCTGGGTACCCTTCTATAAAGTTTTGTTTCATGCTTCTTACTCATTGATTTACTGTGGTCTTTACTGTTGGTTTACTTTGTCTTTTTGCTTGGGTTAATATTTGATATTTATTCAAGTGTAGGATATTACTCCTCTGTCATATTTGTTTGTAACTGACTTAAGTCTTTAGAAATGAATTGAGTTTGCTCAAAAATCTCTGGCAAAAGAACACTTCATGTACACAGAGCTAGCTAGCCTCAAGCAGAGAACTGAGGAAATGGCATGTTTTCCCATATGACTGGTGATTGGTCCATATAGAAGGTGCTAGAAGGAATGGAAGATGATCCAGAGTCTTTGATAAACCATTTGACCCTGATCTCCAGACAGTGGAAAACAATGAGAATTCTGAACCAAGAGGTATAGTAGGTTTTATTCATAGCTACTCCAGAACTCAGAAACTTTACATTGGTCCCTAAAGTGTATTTTCTCATGGTAATTTAGCCACCTCACTCTACAACCCTTCAGCTGTCATTGCTTCCTTTTGAAACAATTAAACCCAATTACTTCACTTGTGGTGCTTATATCAACAGCTCTTTCGCGCTAAGGCTCCCAGCCACTTGTCTTTGTAGGGCAGGCTCGACACTTGAACTGCTAGTAGGAGCACTTGATGGTGTTGAGAGCGAAGATGACCTTTTTAAGCTCTTCCTTGCCAGAGATGTTTTTATAACGCCTTTCAAATGAGTATTAGTTTGTTTTGGCTTAGCCAGGCACTTATCAAATACTGGATAGTTTATTAACCTCAGGTGGAATGACTTAGGATTGAAAGATAATCACCTGAGTTCAGAGCCCAGCGCTGCCACACACTGGGCCTAATCTCTCTGAGTCACAGTGTGTGGGACTTGAATTAGAAAAGGGATATCAGATGCTGTATAGCTCATGGTACTGTACCCTGAACATTAATGCTTTATCCTTCTGGACTATCACATGTGAGGAGCAGCCTTTCTCTCTGGATATTAAATTTTCACATCTGAGCACATCTCTGTGTCCCACTCACTATCTTCTATTTTGAGTTCTTGCTTCTTTAAAAGTATTTGGGAGGCGGTGGCGGGGAGGAGGCAGAAATCTTAAAGAAAGAAAGAAAGAAAGAAAGAAAGAAAGAAAGAAAGAAAGAAAGAAAGAAAGAAAGAAAGAAAGAAAGAAAGAAAGAAAGAAAGAAAGAAAGAGAGAATTGTCTTCTCCAGCCTTGGACTTGGCAGTTGAAGTAAATATCTTAGTATTGTTAAATCTTGGTGATTCTTGTCAGGGTTTTACACTCAACTCTGGGACATTTCCTTTCATTATAGCTTTAATTTCCTAAAGAGTTTGGTTTGTTCATCCTCAGTATTCATGTTGTGTACCTTTACCTTATTCTCGGGGCTTTTTTTTTTTTTAATTTATGCTTTAGTAACTTATTTGGCCTTAGTGTCCTGAGTGCTGGTATTAAAGGTATGCACCACCACACCCATCTAAAACTTGTGCTGATTTTTACATTGTAAAAATACATAAATGAAAAGGAGGAAGAGAGGAAGGAGAGTAAAACCAGAGTGAGGCAGGGTTAAAATAACTGGTGGATAGTCCTCCCACGACATGAGGGATTATCCAGATTGTGTTGACCTTCCCCAAACTGATCGTTTGAAATATAGGCACATAACTGGGAAAGAAATTACCTATACAAAAGCATCTTGTGATTCTGAGCCAGGGAGTATCTTTTCTTAGAATGGAAAAAGAGAAGGACATTGTGTTGTCGTTTCAAAGGTGTGAACAGAGATTTTTTTTTTTTTTTTTTTTTTTTTTTTTTTTTACTGTGTGTGTGTATGGTATCGAGGAAGGTGGCTCACAGTGTCTGTATGGAGTTCAGAGGGCAATATTGTGAGATTGATTCTCTCTTTCCACTTTTATGTGAATTCCAAGGATCCAACTCAGATTGGCAGGCTTGAATAGCAAATACCCTTACCTACTGAGCAATCTCACCAGCTGACTTTGGCATATTAAATTCTCAGATATAGAGCTGAATTTCCTTAGTTAAGGCTTTGTTTGGAAAGCTGACGAGATTTAAAAAAAAAAAAGAAGAAGAAGAAGAAGAAGTGTAGAGCAAAATATTCTGAATTCAAACTTGAGCTTAATTGGTATAAATTGTAGAGCACCTTGGACAACTCTCTTGTTTTCTTAAACTTTGGTGTGTTGGGGGGGGGGGGGGACTTTGCATTTATTTCCATTCTGTGCAGTACTCTTTTTCTTTTAGGTGTTCTGAACCAGATACCCATTCTTAAAACAATAATCAGGGTATCAGTGACTTCTATAGGCTGTGCTGTTCTCACAAAAGTTCTGATAAATCCTGAATTAAAGCAATGGATTAGGGATGCGGGCAGAACTGAGTAGTCAAGCAGCAGCCACAAGAAAAACATGACACCTGGAAATCAGGTCCTGTTACATAACCAGTTTTGCATGTACATCGAAATACTAGAATTAAGTTGGGCAGTGGTGGCACACGCTTTTAATTCCAGCACTTGGGAGGCAGAGGCAGGCAAATCTCTGAGTTTGAGGCCAGCCTGGTCTACAGAGTAAGTTCTAGGACAACCAGGACTACGTAAAGAAGCCTTGTCTTAACCCTCCCCAAAAAATATATTAGAATTAAGCAAAAAATTGGGATACATGCTTATAATCTCAACATTGCTGAGGCTAAGCTAGGAGAATTGTAAATTCTACACCAACTGGCCTACATGTAGAATTAAAATTTTATGCCTTTTTGATTTCCATCAACATAAAAAACAAGGTGCTTTGGAGGAGACAGTTGTTGTGATGAGGAACAGAGACGGTGTCATAAAAGTACACTGAGATGCCCATGGGCCTGCTTACCCAGCTGTCATCTAATGGGCAGGAATTAGAAGGCTGATCACTGTCCTTGTCGATGCATATGAAATGCATCGTTTGTCCTCAGAATTCCTGATTAGTGTCTCTACAGTAAAGCATCAATTATCCATGTTAATGGAGGAAAGCCAGACATGCATAACTCCAAAGAGCCCGTGATCTAAGGAGCATTTTAGCAAGTTTGCCATCTGTATGTGGCTTGTTTGGGAAAGACTACTTTCCTAAAGTTGTTTGCTTAGCCATCCTAGAATAGACAAGCAAAGATCAAACTGGGTTATCTGTAGGAGATATTTAACAGTTAATTCTAGAGAAAAAATAATTCTTTAAATTCATTTAAAAGCAGAACCTCATACCTGCTAACATCTTTTCTTTTTTTTTTTTCCTCTGAATTCATTAGAATGTATGCTGTCAGGAGGATAAGAGATGCCTTCCGAGAAAATAAGAGTGTAAAGGATCCTGTAGAAATTCAAGCCCTGGTGAATAAAGCCAAAAGAGACCTTGAAATAATCCGCAGACAGGTAAGATGGTCCAGTGACAGACTGCTTTTCATCACGCATCTTCAGCTGTGGCATTCCCTCCTTGATTGGACACCACTGCTTTGGTGTTTGTGATTTACACTCAGGACGGTGAGGCACTGTCCTCTTTCCTCATGCAGACATGCGAGATGAACTATCCTGTCACCAGATTCAGGGACATCCTACAGGAACATACCAGGACCTCTTCTTCTGGGAAACTGAGCTCTCATGCTTTGCTAAAGTTGATGCCTTTAGTTTGAGAAACTGGGAAAAAAAAACTGCTTTTTAATCCAAGTGTTTTTAGGATGTACTCTACATGGCTATGTGGCATAAATCAAAGCATAAATATATCATCCTTTTTCTCGTCTTTCTCATCAGGATTTAAGATGAATATAATGGTTTATGAGCATGAGTTACATTACCATGGGAGGTGTGTTTGCAGGTGCAGGGTACGGAGAACATCTGCTTACATGCTAACTTACACGGGCCCCCGAGAGGTGTTTCTGATTTCATTCTGCATCAGTGCCGGGAGTCACCCTGACTCAGCCTTGTTTTTTTTTTTTTTAGAGCTTTGTAAAGCAAGTCTCCTACTTGTGGCAGCGTGGTCATGTGAAATGCCTCTCTTCTGAAGTAATCAAAGTGTCAAAGACTGATGTAGTCTTCTATTGATTGATGTTCTGCCCTAAACTTCCCATTTCACTTTTCTTCAAATTGGCACAGCTCAATTTCTCTTTTTACCTGTTTTCTCTCATAAAGGAAATAAATTCATGAAGTGTGGACGGGGTACATTTCCAAAGTTCTGTTGTATTCTGGAACAGGATTTTTGGGTCCCCCACTTAGGAGATGCCTACTTGGCTGACATTGCCTCTGACCAGTCTTTCCCTGGCTCTTTTCAAAATTGTCTCAAAGTAGAAGTTAAAAAAAAAGATATTAAAAAATTGAAATTTACATTTTATGTCAAGATTAAATCTGTTTCTGTTGACTACATAGTGGAACACTCTCTTCAACAGTAGCATCCGACTCTGATAATCCTCTGAGTCCCACACTTGTCTTATCAGAGAATAATCAAGCAACATTTGTACGTGCTTAGGAAAGGGTCATCAGCTAAAGTCTGGTGACTCGATCATTTCATGGGATCTTCTAGCAGTAGAAATTAGGAAGATAAGCAGCTTGAGTCTGTATATTATATAAATGCACAATGATTTGGTTCTTTGGCACTTTCTCTGTATAGAAAATTAGCAAGCATGTTAAGAACACAAACGACATTGGAAAGGGAACTTATAAGTATTCTCTGCCACCATTTCCCATGTCCAGTTTTTGTCTGGTACTACTTATAAGGCATTAACTACCATTGCTATCACTTAATCATCCTCACTGATGACAGTCTGCAGTTTGCCACACTCGATGGTGGGTTTTCTTGCTTTTGTTGTTCATTTTTTAAACAGCATCTCACTATATAGCCCAGATGTTAGAATTGTAAGTGTGTGCCACCACACCTACATGCCCCTTTTTCTGTTAAGGGAACATAATGTAGAATACCTTGTTAAAGGTTATTACTTGCCTTGTACTAGCCCTTACCACTCTGGGTGGCAAAATACCCCACTTGGTGCCTTCTTTCCAGTGGCATTCATGAAGATCATGTGTTCATCAAAAAAATGGTTTTTAAGTATTATGAATTAAAGTTCTGACCTTGTTCTATATCTGGCTTGATCACCACATGCCTGTGGGCAGAACAGAGGAAGAGACTGTTGGGAATGGACACCAGATGGACAGTCAGCCAGGCTTAGGGGTCTGTATTGATAAGATTCATTTGGACACAAGCATATGATCATGATTTCAGGAATTTCCAGCCATGTCTTGACTGATGGTACCACTGCTTGAAGCTTGAAAAGATGAATTCAACTAAAAAAATCATCCCATGGTTTCAGGAATTTTCATTTCAATCCTAAGAATTTTAACACTTCTGCATGAAAACTAGTGAAAGTCAAGGTACCCATGAGAAGAAAGTTTGAGCCCTTTGCTTTTCTTTCTTTTAAATTTTTTTATTGATTTTATTGAGCTATACATTTTTCTCTGTTCCCCTTCCTTCCTTTCCCCTCCCCTTCTACCCTCTCCCATGGTCCCCATGCTCCCAATTTTCTCAGGAGATCTTATCTTTTTCCACTTCTCATGTAGATTAAATCCATGTATGTCTCTCTTAGGGTCCTCATTGTTGTCTAAGTTCTCTTGGATTGTGAATAGTAGGCTGGTTTTCTTTGCTTCATGTCTAAAAGACACTTATGAGTGAGTACATATGATATTTATATGTCATGCCTACAGGGGTCATTAGAGTGAAATGACTCCCCAGTTCTGGGTTCTCCCGGAGCACAAAGCTTTGGTAACAAAAGTTGGTTGTGGTGCAGTCTTGGGGAGAAAGCTTTCACAGATCTTTCGTGTAATGTGGTGAACTAGATGAGTCTGTGGTTTGTAGGGAAGGAAAATGTTCTGTATGGAGATGTTTCCGGCCACTAGCTTCAGCATTGCTGAAATTAGCACTAAAAGGTGTCAAAAAGTACTTGGTTACCTATCAAGGACAGTGAAGGAAAGATAGCCACCAATGTTCTAAGTCCAGATAATGTCATGATAACCATCTTAGCATCAGCTTTCCAGTAGTTATTACTTTCTGCTCCAGTGTTTCTTCTTGAACTTGTTTTCTCTAACTGTGCAATTCAGACAGTGGAAGGGTTGGAATTTCAGACCTATTGTAGAAGTCATTAAGTGCAGACAGATGTGCTACATTAAAGATACAGGAGGCTGGAATTTGGTTACTCTGAGCACACATGCATACAAGGTGAGGTATTTTCAGTGTTTCTTAGTGTGCACTTAATTATTTCTATAGGCTACTAAAAGCAAATTAAGTTGCTCAATTTATGAGTATTTTAAGTGGTAGTAAATGACTTTCAAACCATATATGTTTGCTGCTTTGTTGCTGTTTCTAAAGACCATTCAAGAGCAATGCTCACCAGGAGCTGAGTGTGCTACTGTGAACTGAGCAGCCGTTACCTGAGACAGTGTCTGTCCCTATCTGCACCAGTACCCTGGGTGGTGAGGAAAGCCAGAATAAAGGTGAAATCTACCTCATAATTCCCATCCTTACAGAAGAGAACATCTGTGAAAATGACAGGATTATTTTAGGAGAATATAATGGCAGGAGAAAAGAAAGCGCAGCTTGTGTCTTTCACATGCATTACAGTACCATTGTAATATTTGGAGAATTTCAAAAGGATACTTAGCTGTGGTTTTGGTGGACTAAAGGAAGGTTGATTCATACATTAGGGATAGTTGTAAAACATAGTAAAAGAATTGTACACTGTCTATAAAAGTCAAAAGGTAATGAAAATGTCTATTGACAGATGGCTAGATATGTGGCCTGTACCTACAGTGAACTGAGTCATCCCTACTAAACATAGATACACCCTGAGAATGGGTTGCCTTGTGAGGTAAACCAGCCATGAAAGCACAACTGCTGCGTGATGGCATTGAGAAGTGCTAGTCAGAGTCATAGAAGCAGAGACAGAACAGTTACCATGGGACCAAAGAGAAGTTGTTCATGGGTACACAGTTTTGATTTCAGAAGATAAAAATACTTGAGATCTTACTGACAGAACTCTGAACATAGTTAACACTATTAAACTGTACACTTGAAAATAATTAGGATAATAAATTTATGTTAAGTGTTTTTTCATAATTAAAAATGCCCAAAGTAAATTTCCGCTAGCCATTTAATTTTAATTAGAAAGATGAAAATCAAATGTTTTATGTACATGTATTTGAAAGTAGGAACCTAAAGTCATTTGAAACATGAACTAGTGGATTTATGTCTCTGAGTCTTCAGTTGGCTTGTTGGGAAAAACAAAACAATTATACTCCAATTTCTACAGCTACTTACAGTTCTCAGCTTTTATGATTCTCATAAATATCTGTCCCCTCCGTCTCTGCAGAAATTACTGATACATTTTCAAGTAAACTTATCTGTGCTGAGATCTCACCGAGCGTAATTCACAAAGAACTTAATTCTGCTGAGTTTAGCCTGTAGGTGAGCCAAGTTGTACACCAATATTTATTCATCATAAATTTCAAAGTCTTGTCTTGGTATAATACTTCTGCTACCAGGACTGCCAGCACCTCTGTTGTTAGCCTTCTTTTTATTCCTGAGAAGAATCATAGTATAACCAGACTGTTTTCTTGCCAGAAAATGAAACAATAGTTAAAAGTATAGTACAGACTTGCAGACAAGAGAGAAACTAAAATGTTTTCCCAAGCACTTCCTGAATGGCAATACTAATGTCTTCTTGGCCCTTCTTGTCCCTGTGACCTGACTGGCTTCTCAACTATATTAAACACACTTGCCATCTCAGTCAAAAGCATTGTGTATTTTGCAATTTTTCATGCATATTTCCTTTTTATGTTTATTGAACACCTGCCCATTGCCACATAATTGATAAGCTAAACAGATTTGGAATTGGATTATAAGGTCCATCAGAAACTTGTAGAAGTTATTTTTTATTGGGGTTCTTCTCAGATCTAGATTTTTTCAATTCCCTCATTCAATACAACAGAAGCAGAGTTTAAAATCCTATCCTGGTTGCTGAAGAAATGGCTCAGCCATTAAGTGCATTGACTGCTCTTTCAAAAGGCCCAAGTTCCATTTGCAGCACCCATATAGATGTTCACAACTATGTTAACTCAAGTGCCAGGGAATCCGTTCCCCTCTTCTGGCCCATGTGGGTACCTGGCATGAACACAGTGTAGACATAAATGCAGGGAAAACATACATCCATGTAAAATAAAAATCTTTTTTTAAAAATCCTACCTTGGCAACATTTTCCCTGTGCCTCTATAGATCAACTGAGATTAGCTCCGAGGATCGATCTTCACTTAAAAGGTGATAGTAAAGCAGTCAGCAGCAGAGGAGATGGCCACACTCTGTCTTGGACTTCAATAAAAAGCCTCACAGATGCAAC